ACCTTGAACATTGCAGAAAATGTCTTGTTCTGTGCAGTACAGTGACTTCTTCCCCTGATGTCAAAGACCAACAACCTTCCAGAGGTAGTGGGGAACAGAAATATCTAGCTGGTATTATCAAATATTCCATAAGTGAGTTCAGTGTCAGGAAACTTTATGATCACAACAAATAAAAGGTGAATGCTGAAGACAGTTAACAAAAGGACGGGCTTGGACCTCACCCATGCAAACATCTGCTTAATCTTAAAGCTGCACTCATCCTAACAGGAAAGTGGGGAACAACCTGCAGACAGAAATTGCAGTTAAGCACTGGCAGTTCCAAAATTGCAGTTAAGCACTGGCACAGGCTGCCCAGGGAGGTGGTGGAGTCCCTGTCCCTGGAGGTTTTCAAAAACCATGTAGATGTGGCACTGAGGGACGTGGGCAGTGTGCATGTTGGGGGTGAGCTGACAGCTGGGCTAGGTGATCATAAAGGTCATTTCCAACCTTAACAATTCTATGAAATGACAGTCAAAACTACATCTGTACAACATTGGTATTTGTATGATAAATGCCATGAGAGCAATCAGTAGGTTACAACTGATTTTTTGAAATTAGTCATATTTTAATAAATTTACACACAAATGCATCACAACTGTGCTAGAAGAGAAAATCAATCTACTAAATTGTAGTGAAACTTTCACTGAATTCCCGACATCAGATTCTATTTAAAAAAATGGTCAAGTTACAATTTGCAGTATTCTGTGTTAAAACACCAAATTGTTTTGTAGTTCTTCCTCTAATTCGGTGTACAGCCAAAGCAGGCTAAGATATGACTTGGACAAGTATGTCCTTTGCATACCTCCATTTGGTTTGTACTTGCACAGCACCATGACAAGATCTCTGAAACACTATCAAAATATAAAAAAAATGTATTTGATTATAAAATGGACTTAGGGACTACAGCAGTCCATTAAGTTCACAACTACTTAAGGTCATGAGAACAGCACAGCTCATAATTTACTGTTGATACTGGATTCATGCCTTTCCACAGACTCTAAATAAAAATAAAAATGGAAACATTGAATTGTGTCTTTCTAAGTCTGTCCTAAAATTCACAAGACTGGAACACTATCACTGGTTGCATTTTCACTAGAAAATAAAATGTTTGATCCTGAGGGCAACCACCCTGCTGCCTGTGTGGTAAAATTCCGAGGAAAGCCGCTGCCATGGTTTCGGCCACTGCGTAACTGAGTATTCACAGTTCCTGGCTACATTACAGGTGTCATTATGTCATTATGGAACATAGTCTGTTTCCAATGAGCAGATTGTATAAGCCTACTCTGCTTTGAAAACAAATGGGGATAAATAGTACAAGTGTAGGCTGTACCCTTCCATTTAGATTCCATGCTAAAGAATAGACCTGGGCACATTTAATATGCTGACATAGCCAGTACATACGGCTATGATGAAGCATAAATTCACAGACTTGTTTTGAAGAAGTTCTTTTTGTCATTGGAAAATCAAGCAAGTCACAGAAATCCCATACATGTGTTATGTATTTGCCTGGAGGGCTCATTGGAACAAGTATTTTGAACAGAATATTCTAAATTGGCATGGTATTGATACCTGACCATTGCGTTCAAACAAACATAATGTTTACTGAGAAAGGGGGAAGTGTTCAAATGTTGCTGATTTCTTTTTTTTCTGTGCAAATTAATAATGTGTATGTATTTTCGTCATGAAGAAAAACAGGGATAGTAAAAATAGCTCACAAGTGAGAGAGCTGCTATTCACTCCCCTGTTCCTGGAACCATGACAGCCATTATATAACCAAAAAGAAAATTGCATGAAATAAACAACATAAGTTAATTGGGTTGATATCAAGTAAAAATATAATTAGTCAAAGCGTTTTGTGGCAAAAAGGACCATCAGTATGTGGCAGCTCCTCAGCCTCACTGGTGAACAGGGATCTGGCCATGTGTTTAAAACTTATTCCTCAAGCATTTCCATGGAAACACATAGATGCAGAGTCCTTGGATCACTTATTTCAGGAGCTATGGGTTCAATCTAGAGAGCTCAGCCCAGGTGAGTGTTGGGCAATAATTCCGATCTAGAAACCTCCCCATACTGGTATTTTTGGGGTCTTATAGTATGGACATTTGGACAAGGGAGAGTGTAAAAGGACATCTTGCATAAGAGAAAAAAAAAAAAGAAAAAAAATCTGCCTAATTTTTTTCTTCTCTGAGACTGCCTGGGAGTTGAGAAATGACAGCACTGGAAACAGCCTGAAGAGTTGACAAAACGGCCAAATACCTCCAGGGAGATTACAATGTCTGCAAGTGTTAGTGAGGTGCTATACTGAAAGAGATTAAATGCAGCCATCAGATCTGCTCGTTAAAAGCTGCCTTTTTCCACATCCACGCAGGAACCAGCTCTGGTGCCACCTCCCAAGGCTGAGGAAAATTCTCACACGTTAAACCACTTACAGTGACAGAGCCAGCCCACCACCATGTGCTGGGAGCACAGCAGCAGTGTGCTCCTGCTACAAAACCTACAGCTGCTTGAGAAAACATGGCCCTTAGCTCTGCTTGTGGCTCAGTACATGCACTGTAAAAGGCAAGTAATGCTGGCTATGATGCACAAGGGCTTCATCAGCACAAAGTGTTTTGAAAGCGCTGTTAAAAATTTGCAGTATGGATAGAACATGCCTCATTGCTAGTAAGTATTTCTGTAAGAAACAAACACACAAAGCAGGCTAGATGGGTGCAGTGTATGGATGGTATGCTGTCTCTGGATGGCTACCTCCCTTCAGATTTCTCCTGATGACACTAATAAAATTAGTGCCTGTGTCCCTTTCCCATCCTGTTAAGGTTTTTAATAAGTCTCGCAGTTTCTGGTAAGAGGTGTTCCAGTGAGAAGGCCTAGGGCATGGCTGCCTTTAGCAGCAGATATATTCTGAAATGCAACAGGGAACACCTGCGCTCTATCTTTGCGCTCTAACAGGGAAGGGAAAGATAAATATTCACAGTGCATTAAATATAATGAAACACATTAAACTGGCGTTGCTCACCTAGCATACATTGCTTTAAATTCTTAAAGACCAGAGCTTTTGTAGGCTGTTCTTGAGTATTTGAGGGGTCTGTTACTGCAGCAATGTGATAGTTCCTCTGGACTGAAATATCCTTAGGCACAATGGAGTTAAGCATAAAGCGTGAAGCCATAACTTCAAATTTTCTGCCTTTTTCTTTAGTCTGTCTCACAAGGTTCCTTTAAGGCCTTTTTCTTGTGTTTATTTTGTCATACATTACATAGCATTAGTGATAATCCAAGTAGGCACACTGTCACCAACTGGGATAAGTTCATCCTGAACTGACTGGTTTGGGACACGATTTTAAGTGCTGCCACTACAATCAGCCTGAATAATGCTCTCAAGACACAGTAGCAAACTAAAAAATTGACACAGGGTGGAGTGCAGTGTTTAAAATATAGAACTGCTTCCATGTTTCCATGCTACTGTCAGCCTTTGAGCCTTACTTTTAATGAGGAAAAGGCTACGGGACTGAACAGAAGCTTGGCTGTCAGTAGAGCAGGCCAGTAGACAACCAGTCCACAACCTGTTTTTTTCCCTTGGTGTTTCAGTCACTCTTAAAGTCACTCCTTTGCATGGGCCTTTCTCCACAGAGATGAAGCTGCACATCTTGAAAAATCTACAAATACCATGAGATTCTACAGTCTGCCATATAATACTCACAGCTGAGAGAGAGAAAGACCAAAACATTCCTCAAGCTGTACTGACCCATCCAGAGCAGTCCCTTGTGCAAATCCTCTCTCCAGTCTAGGCCTTCCCCAGCAGCTCCTCAACATTGAAAGTGTTTGAGTCTGTTGCCCAGGAAAGCCAAGTGGAGACCCCAAGCCTGTGCAGTGCCAGAGACATGACCACTGGATCATATAGGATCCAAAAATGAGAAAATTTGGAGTCAAGAGCAGAAATTCTGATAGAAAGAAGCCTCAGAGTGCAGAAGACTTTCCAATAAAAAGACAGACTTATTCTAGACCTCTCCAAGGTCCTTGGCTTCCTGGAGAAAACCACTCTCCTTCATAAAATCTGCTTTCTTGTACATAAGCTAAACCACACAAACTAATGAAGCTATTTATTTCAAGAGGCTGGGAAGCAAAAGAAAAAAAAGACAGTTACTGTTGTTTCTGTTTTTTATATTCATATAAGACACTTAAATAGGGAACACTCTGTAGGATGATGTCATTAGAAAGGAACACTTGAATTAAAGGCCACAGGCATAACGAATTCAAATGAAATCATGTTCTGAAGTACTGTTTTACGTTGCTGGGAGAAGAACACACAGTTCCCTGTCTCAGTATTAGCAAGACACTGATTTTCTGTAGAAATAAACTTGAACTGGATTTGGTATATATTACATGAAATCCTGCCTTTCCTTCAACAGGAGTAGGACTGGCTCATTCCGGAAAAAAAAAAAAAAAAAAAAAAAGTTTGTTTTTTTAAACCTCTGAAACTTATTTAATACTTTCCCCATAGCAATGCAATTCAGAGAAAAAAATAGTTCAACAATTGCTCATTTTCTCTGCTCATCTTTACGGAAACCCTCAAGCAAACTCATTTCCTCATTTATATCAGCTATCTCCCAGAAGATCTTTCTTGGTGCATAAAAAAATTCATTTATTAAACTGTAAAGAGGACAGAGGGATAGAAAGATTTATTTGAGTACATCTTGCAGAATTTAAATATGGGTGTAGATTGGATGTCCTGATAAAGGAAAAAAAGAGAATTTGCTTTTAAAGTATTTCTAGTTAGTAATAAATTGAGGATGCTTGACATCATTTGACTTCTGCATTATGCATGTAATAGGTGAGCAAATAACAAGGACAATAATTTTATTTATTAATAGTGATATCATTTTGGCAATATGAGAAGAAGTTATGTGTTAACCTTGGGAAATAATAAGAAAAATAATGCCTGCCTTTTTCTTGTTTGTTTGCTTTTAATGGCAGCTAACGTACTGGAAGAAGACTCAATGGAGCAGGACATAGAGAGCCCTGTCACTATTCATCAGCCAAAGTTACCCAAACAAGCTAGAGAGGATCTGCCAAAAAATCTAAACAAAGAATGTGCCAAGAGAAAAATCCAGAGGTATGTTAGGAAAGATGGAAAATGCAACGTCCACCATGGGAATGTCAGAGAGACCTACCGTTACTTGACTGACATCTTCACTACTTTAGTTGATCTGAAGTGGAGGTTCAACTTGTTGATTTTTGTCATGGTTTACACAGTGACCTGGCTCTTCTTTGGAATGATCTGGTGGCTAATTGCCTACATGCGAGGAGATATGGATCATATAGGGGACAGCACGTGGACCCCATGCGTCAGCAACCTCAATGGGTTTGTCTCAGCCTTTTTATTCTCAATCGAGACAGAAACTACCATTGGGTATGGTTACCGGGTCATCACAGACAAGTGTCCCGAGGGAATTGTTCTTCTTTTAATTCAGTCTGTTTTAGGTTCTATCGTCAACGCTTTCATGGTTGGCTGCATGTTTGTGAAAATATCCCAACCCAAGAAGAGGGCAGAAACCTTGGTTTTTTCTACAAATGCAGTTATTTCCATGCGGGACGGAAAGCTATGTCTGATGTTCCGAGTAGGAGACCTTAGGAATTCACACATTGTAGAGGCATCAATACGAGCCAAGTTGATCAAATCCAAACAGACAAAGGAGGGGGAATTTATACCGCTCAACCAGACAGATATCAACGTAGGTTATTACACAGGGGATGATCGTCTCTTTTTGGTTTCACCACTGATCATCAGCCATGAAATTAACCAGCAGAGTCCTTTCTGGGAGATTTCCAAAGCCCAGTTGCCCAAAGAGGAGCTAGAAATTGTTGTAATCCTAGAAGGAATGGTGGAGGCAACAGGTAACATTTCTTATACTTTGTGTAAGGTAAATGCTTTAATATTAGAAAGGAAAATCAGTGGTTTTGCTTCAGTTTAAAGGAATCATTTCAACAGTTGATACATTTGCAAAAGGCATCAGTTATCTGGTTAGCTTCAAAATTAAAAGCGTGCCCAGTTTAATTGTCTGTTCCATCTTGCCTAATGAAATTAGTGTTGTTTCTGCTCTGTTTGGAAAATGGGATAGTTTTTCTCATTTTCTAAATTTTTCACAGCATGTCACGCAGTTATTTGTCATTCTATTGCAGGAGCCACTCAACTACTAGGACCCTGTGGGATAAAATGTTTTAGAAAAAAAAAAAATCAATTCCAAACTCTGTTTATGATTAACATGGAAGTACCATAGTTCCTGCTGCTTCCAATCACCCATGGGTAGCTGCAAAATAACTGCTTGCCACATTAAACTCCAAGCCTGTTTGGATCCAGTAAGAAATGATGATGTGTTTAGTTTTCTCTTCTTTACTTCACTGTTTACCTGCTTTTGTTTTAACTTGTAACTTGGAGCTTGTTTCACTTTAGTTCACAAAAATCTATCAGATTTTGTATTTCACTTCTCTCTCCTACACACTGCAGAAGTGTACAGAACACTTAATGCAAGTATATATAAATAAGGCTTATTTTGTCACCAAAGTTTTGTAGAGAGGTTGTTTGGTCATTAACTATAATTATACAGCAGAACATCAATAGCAGTCTATGCAGAGAAAATGCCGCTTGGAATTCACAGTAAATGGACTAGCAGTGTTTCTTCTTTGCATTAAAACTGAAATAGTAGGAGGATGTTTTGTCTAAAAATGGTGCACCTACTGCAGTCAGAGTGCTGGTATACTTGGCTTAGGAGAGATGTTTTTCCTGCTAATGACAGCATCAAATTCTGAATTGAATAAACATAAACAATACAAGGAAATGGTGATTAGAAAATGAAGAAAGGATGTGCATGGGTAGGAGAAAATAGTGAGCGGAGAAATAGAACAACCAAATTTTCCTTTTTCCCTACTACTGTAAAATCTAGAAGAGTTTGAGGATGCAGATTACACTTCTCTGACACAAGTACAACCTTCCTAACCCTGACTCATGTTTTGCAACTGGAGCCAGGAAATAAAGAGCAGTCTCTTACCAGAACATGTGTGTGTGTTTCACACATCTATTATGTGGTGTCAGAAGAAAATTGCATTTGTCACCATGTAATAAACGTGTGAGACAAAAATGAAGCAAAATATAATTCAAGCAAACTTGGCAGAGAATCTGAAGAGGTAAATGCTAGGCTTCCACATTTTCCAGAAAGTAGGTGGCAATGAAGAGTAATCAAGGAGATGAAATGTTTAGTGTTTCTGATACATGCAGTAAGCATAGAGGTTTCAAACACATGCATCAACTTTAGATGAGAAGATGAGGAAATTGCTGTTTGTTAGCTGAAAACATTCTGAAATTTCTGAACTGCAGCTAGATGAACTTGACATCTGAAAGAACAGTGTTTGTTTGTTTGTTTGTTTTCAGATTTATGGAATACTATGTTTTACAGGAAAAAAAAAAAAAAAAGAGGAGGAAAAAGATTGGCAAGTAATAGTAATATTTGAGGGCTACTCGGAAAGTAATGCCTCCCATTTTATTATGAAATAATAAAAAAAACCACAGGTGGATGTAGGTGGAATGGCAGCAGAGATTGAATTTTCCCATCGATATCCCATTAAATTTTGTAGCCATGTGACAGATGGCAGCAGAGGGGCAGATTGACAAAATGGCATCCGACATGGAAATGCATATGAAGCAAAGGCATGCCATTTAATTCCTCCATGTGAAAAAATGGCACCCACTGACATTCACTGACACTTTCTGAACATTTCTGGAGTCCACACAGTGGAAGTGAGTACAGTGACGAGTGGTGCATTTCACCAGTGGTGACAATGGGTCATCTCCAGTGCACAGTTTTCAAGTGTGGCATGTAGGCTCTTGTTTATCACTGGCAAAAACACATAGCTAGTGGTGATGGCTGTGTTGAAAAATAGTGATTTGTAGCTGAGAATATGCTCTATCAAATTGAGCAATTGTGCTCTTTGTAACAGTTGTTGTTTCCATGGAAATAATTAGGAGGCACTACTTTTAGAGCAATCTATGTAAATGGCATCTCACTGAAAAAATGTAAAAGTCAGAACACAGTATACTCTGTATGTATACTTCTGCAGTACAACAAATGTACCTTTGTTGTTTTAAGCCTTCAAGCTTTTCACTGTTTAACCTTCCAATCCCTACTTCTTCCTTGATCCTAGCACACTTATGCAGCCCTCTGTTCTCTCCTTTGCTGCTCTGATATTGATATATTGATCTTATCTTCTACTCAGTCATTATCATCTTCCACCAGTGAGGGCTATCTTTCAGACTATTTGGGCTTACAAGGTAAAGTTAAAATTCTAGAATAATTCTGGAATAAGTTCATAGTAATAGAAAGACTGGATGTAACTATTTGCAAACCTACTGAAGCTGCCCAGGATAAAAGTGTAACCCTGACACATTTTCAGCTGCTCCATTTCATTCTGTTGGGGCCACCTCTTTAGCATGCAGCTGTATGAGATATGAGGGGAGGGCATCATATAATATCACTTAACTGCATTATCAGGAATAGTAATGTCATAATTACTAGTACATTTTCTGTTTGTGTGGTAGTCCACGTGCATTGGATTACTTCTGCTGAAGATGCAGACAGACCAACATTCTACCATAACTAGACATTTTCCTTTTTTTTTTTCTCAACAGATTTTTTTTTTAATTTACATTCTTGCAAATATTGAAAGAAAATTTAGGCCATCATATATTCATTTTTCCTTCTTACATCAAATGTAGAGTGAAAGCAGCAAGAGAAGCTGCTCACTGCAGAAATCTCCAGCACACTACTCTTCATACCTTCCAGTACTGCTTGAAGTCATGGGATAGAAAAATACTGACAATTAACCTAAGAAACTGTGTCCTTAGCTATAGCAGCATCATCACTCAGTATTACTTTGCATACATCAAACACAGATGGACAGCATTATCTTCTGTGCATCAGAAAAAGTCACTCCAAATTCTGACCACATGAGAAAAATCCTTTCTAAATTTTCAGAGCTTCTCTACTCTTACATTTATCCTTTTAATGAGAGGTAACATGGTGCAAACTGCTTAATATGAAATTTGCTATTATTTTCATCAATTATTGTTATTATTCTGTATAAAGTTTTATTGAGAAAATATCACCTTACATAATAGTTTCCACCTAAGGGATTCAAGAGCTCAGCTATTTCTAGTATGAAATATAACTGCTTATGTAGCATCATGTAAATTTTGTACTGTGCGTTAGGAGTGGAAATGAAGAATAACACATCTTATGAAAAGAAATGAAAATTTTTAGCCAAATCAAAATTTAGGAGAAACATGAAATCAAGGACACTCAAATTCCCCTTGGAAGCATCACCGTACTTTCTGAGATACAGAATGGAGTAGATATTTCTGCCAAGGCAGATATCGAAATGTCAGCCAAGAAAATAGCACTACACCTTTACTATTCACATTAATTCTACCATAAGGGTTATTTTGAGGGCAGAAGATTCAAAAAGGCACTTCCAACAAAAGACAATGTCAATCTGACTCCTTCATATTATATCTGCAAGAACTGAAAATAGCACTGGTTTTATAAACATGTTATTGATCCTTTCAATATGCAATTTTCCTTATTTGTTTACTCAACAAGCCATCTGTGTTCAAAGGATAACACTCTCACAAAAGTTCACTCCTATGGCCTTCCTAATACTAACACACATCTGTCAAGCACCCAAGAAAGAAATGGTGAGTGTTTCTGAACTTGTTCTGTAGTACTCACAGCAGATATGTTACTGCAACCCCTACCACAAGGGTTGGTGACTCAGCTGAAGATGCAGCATCTCACACTTCTCACTTTGGTAGGCTATGCTGCCACTCCTCAAGGTGAAGTGAGATCAGCTCTGCACAGCCATACACTGTTAAGTACATCAGGCCATTGTGAAGCAAACGGCGATCCTTCAGGATGGGGAGCCACTGTTCTGCTTCCCATCTTGCTAAAGGCAGGTAAGAGTGCAAGCAAGATGCAAGAATCAATACAACTCAGCAATAACAAAAATAACCTCCACCTTTAGTAAGGAAGTAGTTTCTGAGACACTTTTGCATCTTTTAGTGTCAGAATACAGCAGTGGAATTGAAACTACAGGATTCCAGCATCCCTTCCCTCCCTATGGTAGAGCTGCAACACTACATGCAAATCGACTAATGGAAAAGAACAAGTCCAATGCACCAATCTCAATCCCTCAGCATTTGAAATCTGCCATTGAAAATACTTGGTTTATATTAAAGTGCCATCACTACTTTCTTTTTTTTTTCTTTTTTTTCTTTTTTCTTTTTTTTTTTCTGGAGATCAATTAAGATATTTGTTAGAATATGCAGTTTTATTGCAGTGGAATTTGAGTAAATAATTTTGGTCCTTTGATCCATGAAAAACAGAACACAGAGGCTCACAGATCCTGAACCCTGTCTCCCCTAAACAGTATGCACAAAAGTTTGGATCTGAATAATTTATATATTTCTCTCAAATTTAAAAAAGAAATGAGGAACCTGGTCTAGTGGGAGGTGTCCCTGCCTATAGCATGGGGATTGGAACTACATGATCTTCAAGGTTCCTTCCAACATAAATGTTCCTGTGATTCTGTGATTCTATGAAATCTGCAATTAACATATTTAATGGCAAGTTGACAGCCACTTTCCTACAATAGACTTGACAATTTTAAGCCTTTTTCTCCAAGTGAAGTCTGTTTTTGAGGGAGGTCTTATAAACATAAACAAACTCGTAACTTGAAAAACAATAAAAACTATACATCCAAAGTTGAAATTCTAGAAGAATTTCAGAAGAAAATTTTCAGTAGAAGAAAAAAAGGAAGAAAAAAAAAAAAGATATTGAAAAAAATTT